ATGATCTTAGCTTGAAATTTGCATTGGTTAAAAAATCATCATCCCCAACTCCCTAACTTTGTTATCGTTGTGTCATTTATATTTTTAGGTAGGTTATTGTTTTTTATTATTTCGTAGTGTTTTGTAGATTTTTGGGCGAGAGATAACCAAGTTACCCGACTCGGGTCGTTCTCAAAAGGAAGACGGTTCGGAGCTTCGTTTACTAATTAATTGTCCAAATCACAAAAAGAGAAAATAAATCCTAAACATCCCAATCAATGAGTTCGGGGTTGAATTAACACTAGACGAGCAAATGATTACAATTAAAGCAAAGAACGAGCAAATAGCGAAACTAGACTATTGGAGTCTCATGCCATCAACACAACGAGAAGATAATCGACGACAAAGAGGAATAAACAAGCTAAGAGCACTAGGTCATTAACCCTAGCCTTCTAACCCTAAATAATTAAGCTCTAAATAGTGTCTTAACCCTTCTAGATAGGCAAGCAATTAATCCCTACTAATACTCAAGCAAGCAATGAAAATAACCAAGTCCCAACTTTTCCTCCGTCATTCACAATACTCACATTTACCTTAATAAGCATTATAAGTAAAGACGAGGCAAAAATCGAAGTAAAGAGGATTAAAGCTAATTAAATGGAACACTCGCGAGTTAAGGCGAACTCACGAGCTAGAACGTGAGTTTCGCGGGCGCGAGTGAAGGAAAACATTTTGGACAACTCGCGGGTTAAGGCGTATTCGCGAGCTGGGAGAGGGATTTCGCGCCCCGCAAGTTTTGTGGTTTGCTTGGGTCCATAGCTCGCGAGTCCAGTGTAGCTCGCGGAATCGTTTTCGCGCCCGCGGATTTGGGATGTTGCAGCAGGATGCTATCTCGCGAAATGGCCACAGTTCGCGAATTAAATTTCGCTGGTGCGAGTTTTCCTCATGAAAAAGTGTTCGACTCTCGGCATTTCGCCTCGGTGACCACGATTCAACTTGTAAAGCTCTATTTCATCGCGCAATTCTCCAATCACCTTGAAAATTTGATTCTCTTAATCAACACACAGAATTCACCGACGACTCCATGACTAAGCACTCGGGACGGCACACCACGAAACGACTATTCCTTCCTTCCGACTTACAAAAACACCAAACGCACACAAGTGATAGAACATTATATGGAAACGACTCAAGAACGCAAAGCTACTAATAAATGAACAAAAATGGATCGGCACACACAAAACGAACCTAAAAAGACTCGACTCAAGCACATAAAAACACAAGAAAAACACACAAAAATATAACAAACACTTAGTTAATAATTCATTCGAACTCCAATCTGATTAGAGTGTTTAGGATTTATTTTCTCTTTGTCTGTGATCGATTCCAAAACTAAATTCAGAACCGCCTTCCTCGAGAGATCGACCTAGAAAACGAATCTTTCGATTCAGTACTCCGTAAAAATATATTTTGCTACAATATTTTACGTCATTCCAATCATCCAAATCTGAATGCTTAGATTATTAAACAAGTTCGTGCATCGCACAGGTACCACAGTAGTTTGTTATAATATGTCTGCCTAACCATGGCCGTCAACAACAGAATATCTACTTGTTAAGTAAACAATCAATCACCGTCCATTCTTCTTCAAAAAACTCTAGATACAAACATCTTATTCTCAAGTCATCCACATCGTCTATTTGAGTGTTTGAAGGGACTCTCTAAAATCTGGTGCTCACAAACTGCCAGAACAAAATGTTTGAATTTTCCATAATTGGAATATATTCTTACTTTTGAAAATATAAAATTTACACCAGAGACGGAACCTAAAAGCGATTCGAGAGGTTAATAGTGTTAAAAAAACACGTCTACAACTAGTAATTAGATGTCACATTAAATTTTGCGTGGCTTTTTTTTTTTTTTTTTTTTTTTTTTTTTTTTTTTTTTTTTTTTTAATCTTTGGTTAAGAAAAAAGCATGGAAAATATATAAGTAAGCTTAAGACATGTCCACGGGTCACCCGACCCCCTAGCCCGGCCCGGACTAGGCCCGGTCAAACCCATTGACCACATGTCCGGGCTCGGTTCGGATTTCAAATGGGCCGGTCAAGGTCTTATTTTTTCGACCTTGACCCGGTGGGCCGGGCCGAGTCTGGGCCCAGCACGACCCTAGGTCCGTGCCGGCTCAAGGTCGTCGAAACCCAACCCAGTGGCCCGGCGGGCCGGCCCGGGCCGTGATCCGGCTCGAGTTTTGACCATGTCTAAGTAAGCGTGAGAGCTAGGGATACTAATTTTCATCGACCATTGACTTTCTTATACATTAGTAGTAATTGTGAAAATAGCAATTTTAGTCGGTCTGCAATTAGTAGTAACTAATACAATACACGTGTACTACACGAGTGTTGAGTTAAATGTATATTATAAAAGTTATTGCTAAAGTCATTGCGGATTTTAAAATATTACGATGTTGCAATATTGGATTAGGGGATTACTCATTGCTAATGTCCTTTTTTTTTTGTACAGGGACCTTCCGATTTCCGGATCCACAGGGGAGCCGACTAATCCGGAATCGAGCCGGGTAGGACCACAAGGGCGTCAAAGCTCTCCCTCAAGAGTTTTAACACATTGCTAATGTCCTTTAATTTAGTGAAAAGGAGACAAACAAAAAATAAAATGAAAAAAAGGACAAATAAACAAGAAGGAATGAAGGAGATAATTTGAACCTGATTTATAAATTTCCAATCCAGAATTTGAACCCTGATTTATTAATTGTAAGACCTAAATCACTGATATTTGGAATCGTTTAATTGATAAGTTTAAACGCAATAGCATTAGAATCAAATCAAATGCTCATGATTTATTAAAAAATAATAACCTCCACTGATCATAGATGCATGATATATTATCCATGCAATTATCGAATTTTTTACGGAAAAAAAAAAGTTAAGTGGTGGACAAAAAAAAAAAAAAAAAAAAAAAGTGGAAAAAAATAGAAAGCCCGTATTTTGTTAATACGTTTTTTGAAAAATTTTATTTTGAATTTGTAAAAAAAAATGTGAAAAACGTATTTAGTGAATACGTTTTTTAATTAAATTATATAGAAAACATATTTTGTAAATACGTGCTTTCTATGTTGGTCCATTCCTACCTTTTTTTTTTTGTTTTTTGTCCATTTATTATTTTTTTATTAATAAATATATAAATTGCCCTGCAATTATCAGTAAACTATTACAATTTTATTATCTTATTTTATATTAACTTTTATAATAATTATTTGCTTGTGATTTATGCGTTGGACCAAATTTTGCCTACTCGGCTTTTATGGTTTTTATTTATTTAAAATGTTACATATGGGAGGTGTCATAATACCACATGGATCATTTATATTTCATTAATCAACTGTTGTATCTTTCTCATCATATAGTTCAAAGTGGTATCCATTAACTTTTAAGATTTTTTTTTATTTTTTATTTTTTATTACTTGCAAGGGAGATTATATATGTATTATAATTTTTTTCTTTACATTTTATTTTTTCTATGGTTATATCAGTAATGAAATCATAGCTATATACACGTGGTATTTATTAATATACATAGGGTATAAATAAAATATTAATTTATTTCTACATTGTTTGATGCACACAAATGTTATTTAAAATTGAACATATGAAATTTCAATAACAATTGAAGATGTATATATATATATATATATATATATATATATATATATATAAGTCCTACCCATTTATCCATAATTATATTTTTAGTTTATTGGCAAACATGAATTATTTATTCAAATGAATTTTGAATTCAGAAGTTCATTTGAGAAATGACCTCTTACTGTAAGTAATAATCATAGAGATAACCAAGAGGATTGACACAACTTGAACACGATGTCCTAACAACGAAAATTCAACCACAAGGAAGGCTACCCTCAACCAAATTACACAAAACAAATTACAATAAACAATAATTAAAAAAACAAAACAAATACAAACGCAACCAAAAACATAAAAATAGATATATACAACAGTTTAAGATTAGATAATCGAGGCAAAAGGTGGTCCCACGCAGATGAAGCGCACCACAAAAAGGTGAGCTTAAGTGCACCATAGCAGGAGCGAAACCAGAAAATTAGTTGCAAGGGGGCCAAAGACATGACATAATGGGTTGAGAACCGATATTGAACTGATACCATTTCGGTAATCGAAAAATACATAAGTCGGTTCGGTTCAATTTATTTTCTCATCGGTTCGATTCGATTCGATTCGATTTTCGGTCAAAATATATCAGCCCTAGTCTGGGCAATAAAAGAGAATTGAAGTTTTTTACATGAGCCAATTAAAATTGTAGATTGATAGTAATCAATATATAAAATTAATAGTAAAATAAAACAAGTGTTGAATTGTTAGTTGACAAATGTGGACAAATTGATCTGGTGAGTGACGTTTAAAAATAAAAAAATAAGAGAGTGCAAAAATAAATTTAAGACGGGGGAGGGGGCAAATTAAAATTTGTAATATTAATAATATAAAATTAAATTTGAGGGAAGGCAATTGCCCCCTATCATTAGATGTAAATTGCCCCCTACACCGTAGTGAAGTTTCATCCAATCACAAACTAGCACTCAGCCCTATAATGAAAATAGACTTTTCGTTAAATTCATTATAATAAGTTAAAACAAAATAATAATAATAATAATAATAATAATAATAATAATAATAATAATAATAATAAGGAACTATATATTATTCTAGTTAAATTCTTTACATATTTATTAGTACTGTATATATAATAATATAATATATAGAGAAGGCATTATCATTATCATATTATTTGATTCCTAAGCGCACAAACAACATTAATAAATAGTCCATGCAAAATCCGGCCGTGGCCGCTATAAAAAGCCACATCGTCCCTAACATCCTTTTCCCAAAAGAGACAACCGCTCTCTTACATCTCTCTCTCTCTCTAAAACCACCCAAACTCAAATATTCATTCAGAAATCAAATAAAGAGGAAAAATGGGTTTAAACTCGAACAACCGGGTCGAAAACATCCCGGGCCCCGAGGCCCCAGATGTTAGCCTCACGATTTCTCGACACGCCTTACCACTACCGCCGCCGGAGGTGCACGAGGTGCGCCTGCCGCCGGCGAGGACCGCCGTCCAGAAACTCAGGCACCGCCTGTCGGAGATTTTCTTCCCCGACGACCCACTCCACCGGTTCAAGGACCAGACGTGGTTCAGAAAGTCGGTTTTGGGTCTGCAGTTTTTCTTACCCATTTTCGAGTGGGCCCCAAATTACAGTATCCGGCTGCTCAAGTCCGATGTGGTCTCCGGTCTCACGATTGCCAGTCTCGCCATTCCACAAGTACGATTATTTCTTAGTAGTTAATTAAATTAATTAATAAAATTAAACGACTAATTGGAAATATTAAGTTTTAAATATTGACATGAAGTTGGTGATCATGAGGCCTTGTGGATTTTCGGGTAAATTTTACCGTTAGATCAACACATATCCATACGGGCGTCGGACGAATGAGTGTAAGAGTGTGAGTAATCTGACGGTTAAAAATTAAAATCCTGGTATGATCGAATTAGCCGGATTTTCATTTGATAATTGTGATATGAGTACGTATTTTTTTATTTTTTTAAATAGTTAGTTATTATGGTTAACTAAAAAAACTACCCAAATGATTATGACCACTTCACATTTATATTTAGAAAAAAAAAAAAATAGAAAAATGTGCATATATGAAAGAGACAAAAGAAAATAAATTATACTCCATCATGTTAGCATATATTATTACATAATCTCAATTTAAAATAGATTAAAATTTCTGAATTATTCATAATCTGATTTATTTTGTTCATTCACAAATACAGGGCATTAGTTATGCAAAGCTAGCAAACCTGCCACCCATAATCGGGTTATGTAAGTGTTCTCAACACCAAAAACTTGATCAAAATCCTGTTCATTGTCTTGTATATATATATATATATATATATATATATCTCAAAAACTATACTAACTCAATTTTCCCATTTTTGTCCTCAGATTCGAGCTTCGTGCCGCCTTTGATATACTCTGTTCTGGGAAGCTCGAGGCATGTTGCCGTGGGTCCCGTGTCGATAGCATCCCTTGTGATGGGCACAATGCTAAGCGAAAAAGTCTCCTACACCGAAGAACCTAACCTTTACCTTCAATTGGCTTTTACAGCTACATTCTTTGCAGGACTATTTCAAGCTTCACTTGGCTTTTTAAGGTGTACCATATTGTTTTTTTAATTTTTCTAATACCTTTTAAAAGAAGTACTGTCTCAATACTTTTCGAAATAGGAACAATTTTTTTTTTTTTTTTTTTTTT